TTTATGTTTCATGTTTTTCTCATGCTAAAAAGGCAAGCTGATCATGGCATACATTTATACAGTGATAGACTCTTTTCATGGCAGCCATTTTGACATGAAAAAGTAGGTAAACACAGGTGTTACTAATCACATTCATTAAGTCTCTATCTGAATAGAGCAAAACTTTAATTCACGTAATTAGTAACAACTGTGTTTACCTACTATTTCATTTCAAAATGCTGCCATGAAAAGGATGCATTCAGTTGTACAGTATTGATTAACTCTCACCAGAAACCAGACATCTTTGCCCCACAGGTTGTGTCCTTTGGTCACTCCTTTCAGATATCGAGCCACCATCATCCCTAGTGATCCTGTGGTCATCCAGGCTATCAGCATTAGTGCTCCTGAAACCAAAGAGTTGTATGAATCAATATCTATAACCACTATTTCTAATATGACCTCCATGTTGTGGTACTCTTTAAACTTGTCAGTTTTGGATGAAACAATTGGGCTCCTGGGCATGTAAGTCCCTCCATCCCAAACTGTATCAACCAGAGCACTCCACATCCCAGTGCTGTAGCATATTTTATTCCCCTGCGCCGCTGACAGCCAGTGGCCGAAAGCATTATGTTTTCTGGTTTTCTGTCCGTCCATCTGTTCTATTCTTGTGAACGTGATATCTCAAGAATGCCTTTGAGGAATTTCTTCAAATTGATTAGATTTTGGTAGCCAAAGGTCATGGGCCATAAAAAAATTATCCCTCAAGTCACAAGTTAAGGATTCACCCGTCTATTGTGAACAAATTGCATACCCAGCCATAAACTGCACAGCATGTTTTTTTTATCACATATTGAGTCACGTGTCTAAGGTCTGTCTAACAGATGAGAATAACTTCTATTTAAAACAACCAAACAGTCAATGCAATGTCCAACATAAAAGGCTTCAGAGAAACATGAATATGTGCAATACATTTCCTGTCAAAATTTAGGTGCTAAAGAGGGCCACAGGTCACCAAAACCCTTAAGACTCTGAGGACCCTGAGATGTGTTTATCACAGTCAAATAACTAGTTTGAGTAGCCAAGTGACAAGCATCACAGTGAAATGAAAAAAAAAAAAATCTTCTGCAAGGAAGTTTGATAAAAAAAAAGACTCAATTTGTAATTGGTGTTCACAATGGTGAATATAAATGAATTACTTTGTTGTTTGTTCCTCCAACATCAAAAAGCTTGAAGGACAGTAGAGGCATATCAGTGTTATCCCAAATATCTGTGAAAGAAGGTGTGGATGTCGCATTGCA